TAAAAAATAACATTTAATAGGTTTAAAGTTTAAATCTCAACATTTACAAACAAAAAGCAAACAAATGATTGTAATTTAAAACTTTTATATTTAAAAATTGTTGATTTAATATTTGAGATTTACATGAGAAAGTTATTATGGATTTGACAATTTAAAATATCAAAAAATATATATAAAAATAAAAGTGATACGAGTTAAAAACAAAATTTATATATAGGTTTAACAAAAAAATAAAAATAAATATTTCATATTTTTCGTATCAATATAAATTGTAACATGTAATTTTCGTATAAAATATAATATAAATACACAAATTATCATTGATTTATATGATATAAATATACAAATTATCAAATCTTATACCTTCATTTCGTTCCAAAACTCAATAAAATTTCATATATACAATAGGTGCATACATATAGTTATTAGTTATTTCTGACCCAAATAATCAGAAAGAGTCCTGTTATTATGCTACCAAATGAACCTTTGGTGAGTAATGAATCGTGGATGGCACGAATATAAATATCAAGGGTGCGTTAGATATCTATTAATGAAAGCAAGAAAAATATTAACGGAGGAGAGCGAACCCTGTTCGAACTTGGAAGATTTTGCATACTTCCATGTTGAAACAAATGAAAAACACAAATTCATCCAGCTAACAGCCTAAGCTATCATGAAGAATGATTAGGATACTGAGAGTTGGTGTGTTTGAGAGATGATTAATAGCAATGCTTACCTGTTTATGTTCATAACAGTCGTCACCAATATTTAGCTTTTGATTAAACAAATAAGGTACTTGAAAAAGAAATAAATATATATAGGAAGAATCAATTAATATAGTGTAAAATTAAAAAAAAAATTACATATTTTTAATTGTTAATTTCAATAGATGTAAAAGACGAAATTAAATCATTTTTTTTAATTTTTATTTGCCGTTATCATTTTTTTAATCTATTAAAATTAATTGTTAAAAAATTTGTAAATTTTTTTTTTAATTTTACAATGCGTGAAATATGGTTTTACTTTTAGACTAGTTGACAAAAAGTTTGGATGAGTAAGATGACATTATTATCGGATCTAAAATCATCATCAAGAAGAAAGAAAGTAATCCAACTGCCAGCTTACTTACACCATTTATTTTAATACTATATCCACATTAAAGTTTAATCAATTAAAGTATAGAATCTTTATTATTTAAAAATTTTAATATTTTAATATTTTTTAAAATAATAAAAATTACAATTTGAAAAAAAAAAAAGAGATTATAGATATTAAAATTTAAATTTAAAATTTATTAAATACATTTATTAAAAATGATCACGATTAAATTTCAAATTAAAAAAAAATCTAACATTTCTTTATGAAAAGGAAGCAGTTAACAAAAATTGGGACATTTCGAAGCAATTGAGCTAAAAGGAAAAAACTGTTGAGACAGGGATGCCTAGGCTATCCATGAATCTTAAAAGTTCATTGTAGGAACTTTTGATAATTATATATCCTATGCTTCAAGGCCAGAAGGAACAAATGATGAGATAAAATGGTAGGGTGTGAGCCACATTTGCACCAACCAATTACATATTTGCATAATGAAAACTGCAAACGTATGAGAACAGACTACATTTTAAATATGGATATGCTAAATGATTTGGATTCTGAAGATTTACCTATAGGATTACGATGAATGATCTGAAATATGAAGATTTGCTAATGAAAATGCCAAATTTTGGAGAAAAGAAAAGTGTTATTCTAAATGATTTGAAATCTAAAGAGGGAAAACAAAAATTATTAGTAACAAATCTAATATATATATATATATATATATATATATATATATATTATAATAATATATATAAACAAGTTTGTCATATAGTCGTCTAAGCGGTAAACTCTCTTAAATGACACATAGAATAGTTTTTTTAAAAAATAAGATGATTTTTTAATTACAAATTAAATAATTTTAAATTTATTCAAATATCAAAATTATTCAAATTATAATTGAAAATCAAATTAATTTATAGATATATATTTTAAAATTAAAAATATGAAATATGGATTTTATTTTTTTAATAAATAATTTTAGTTGTTTATCGATAACCTTATTTAAAAAATTGTTTAATTATCAAAATTTTTCAAATATGTTTAAAAATTACAAAGATTAAATTTATCCAAATTTTTCAATAATCTTTTTTATTTTGATTTAAAATTTTTTCTTTTTAAAAAATTTACATAAGACATTAAAAATTCAAGCAATTTTATGTAAGATTTTGAAAATTCAAAAAATTTTCATCTTAAATCTTTAAATAATAAGTTTATCAAAATAATTATATCAATTTGAATTCTAATTATCAAATTTATATTTCAAATAAATGCAAAAAAATTAATATTATCTTTATCACTTATTATATCCATTTTAAATTTTAAAAATTATCTATTTAATTCTAATTGCCACTAAAGAATTTTTCTACAAATTTAAGATTACAAATGTAATGTGTTATACATTAATTTTTTTAGTAACTTTTTTTAATGTATATTCTATTACTATTGCAATTTTTTTTTTGTTTATAATTTTTTTCTAAGATATATTTTATTGTTATCACAATTTCATTTTTATGAAAAATATTTTTTTTCAATTTATTTTTTTTTCACATATTTTCTAATATTTTTCATATTTTGTATAATAATTTAGTCAAAATTACTAAAGTGAAAATATATTAATATTTCTTTTATTTAAGACTACAAATATAATATGCTATACATCAATTTTTTTATTTTTTCAGTAACTTTTTTTAAGGTATATTCTATTACCATTGCAATTTATTTATTTTTTGTGTATAAATTTTTTCTAAGATATATTTTATTGTTATTATAGTTTCATTATTATGCAAATAATTTTTTTTCAATTTATTTTTTCCTTTTTCACATATTTTCTATCATTTTTCATATTTTGTATAATAATTTAGTCAAGATTACTAAAATAAAAGTGTGTTACTACTTCTTTTATTATTTAATTTATCATTCAATAATATATATTTTTTATTTTTTTAAAAAAGATATAATTTATTTTAATTTGATATAATTTTATAGGTATATAAATTTTATTGTAAACAAAAATATCTAAGGGAAAGAGATAAGTTTTTGTTTTTTACTGTTTTCAAAAAATTTATTTTTAATATATATAAATTTTATATATGTTATGAGTTTTAAATATTTGAATATAATTTTTTAAAAAATTAATCTATATATATTAATATTAAATAAATAAAATTATTTCATCGCACGGATAATAGTCTAGTATTATCTATTTTAAATGTGTTTAAGGTTAAAGGGTTAAGTTGGCTATTGTGTTTGCTTCCTCCAATCTGATTTTGATCACAAATAGGATATTAAACATACCCAAAATTTTTAAAACCAAGCTGAAGTTTGAATTAATAAAAAAAATTTACAGTAATTTCTGAACCAATGATGTTTTGAACATAGTTTGTTAGACCTTATCCTAAACTACACTTGAATCCTCCGTAGTAATTGTTAAACATCTAAAACAGACTTAGATGAAATTCACTAGATAAAATTCATGATTTTTTTTATCAAAAACAATTAAAGAAAAACTAAAATTAAAAATTAAAATAAATAAATTAAAAAAATCTCATCACATAAATCAAATATACAAAATTTGAAAAAATTTTAATAAATTTTGATATATATTTTTAAATAAACATTTTTAATAAAATATAAACATAATTTTTATTATTAAATAAATATTGATCAAATTTTAAATATAAATAATTTTTTAATAATTTTTTATATATATTATTAATTTTTACATTAAATTCTATTAATCTATGATTTAAATTTTTTATTAAAATGTTTATTAAATCAATTTTCTTTTAAAAACTTTACAAACTTCATTTAAATTACTTCCAAAATTTTCACAAAAATTTTCACTTAAATTTTATCCTAAATTTATCCTAAACATCTAAGGATCAGAAATTTTCTGGATGTGAAGGATCAGCTATGATCTGGATGTGAGATCTGAGGAACTGCTGCTAAATTGAGTAAAATTAGTATAAAGTATGGAGGTGTTTGTATAATTATCCGTGTGCTCTTCGTGCAATCAATCACTTATTAACATCGGAGGTAGCGGGCATTTATTTATTCATAAAGTTAGATCTGACAAAAATTATTATGACATCTATTTTAATCATATATTATGTAAAATATAAAAATTATTGAATAATAATTATATTAATATATTAAATATAAAATATATTTTTAATTTATTAAAATTACATATAATTTTATTAATATTTTAACTCATGGCTTTCATATGGTTATCATAACATAGTATTACATCGGATTTAAAATAGCCAAATATCCGTAAAGACCGCTTTCTGCCAATGATCAATTAAATTATCCCAAGGTTTAATAGGGCTGCGCCTGCAACTGTCACCATAAAAATTTATCCTAAAGGTAACTTCAAACCTCAAGATCCAATTTTTTTGGGCTCAAAACTGAATATGCCCATGTACCACTGTGCCAGAGTCTACGCCACATCAGAAAGTGATGCATATATTCGACTTCATGGCAAACCAACACACGTATCGATTATTGCATCAAATTGAAGGATTGGGTCTCCACCATGTTAATCGAAATCTATTTGAGAAGGCAGCTGCATGCAGCAGAAAATAGCTGCAAAACAACTCAGACTGGCAAAGTAAAAGGGAAGAACCAAATGAACGAATAGAAAAGCAACTAGTCTCAGAGATATTCGGTATGACATCAAGTTACTGAATGGAATATAGCATGTGAAATTATTAACCACATGAGTTGAAAACAGAACAGATTCATTATATTCTTTTCTTCTAACTGTCATCTGATACCCAGATATAAACTCTACTTACCTGATTTTTCACTTCCATAGAATATTGAAGAGCTTCCAAACGAGCATGTATTATCATATGCTTCCAAGCAGCACAGAGTAAATGGTTGCATGATAAAACATCAGTCAACCAAGTGAAGTTTATGCCACTAGAAACAGTATCTCACAGTTTGTAAGCTACGGAGTTGCAAAGCTTCTTGTAGGCATGTAACAGCACCGTCGTAGTTTAAGAAGCCCATGACCCAAAATTCATGAATATCAACAGAGATAACTTGGATGTACTTTTCAGTAGGTTTGACTCTGCTTGTTGAAGGATTAACTGCTTTAAGTTGATGTAATGGGATAACCAACTGTTTAAGCAGACAGAAGAATGTCAAGAATTATAACTTAGCAAATTCCTATACCATACACCAGTACCTAAATATTACGATGCACAAAGTTATTCATGTGATGTAACGTTAAAATGGAGAATTGGAAATAGGAGCTCATTACTACCAATCTTTTCTAAATGCAAGCATGTAAGGCTAATTCAAACATACCTTATAGTAGCTCCATTCAGTCTGGCTACCATTTTTATAGGAAAGAGGACTGTTACTAATATATGCAAGCTTTGCCGTAGACACATACAAAACTCCCATGACAGGACCAGCTGATGTGGATAAGTAACATGCAAATGAATTCTGGAGTTGCTCTTCAGGAACTGTTTCAAAAGTTTGTCTAAAATTTTCTCATAGCCACCTTCTGCTAAAATCTTTGTTCCCTGAGCAATTCTTCTGATGGCAGCCTCAGCAAAACTCGGGCTTGTTTTTACTGATTTAAGAAAAGAGGGAAGAAGCATTTAAGTAATTTTATGTATGTGAAACTGCTTGAGAAACAAGAGGGAGGAGACAGATTCAAATATTTAAAGAAAGCAGAAATAGCATATTATTCTAATTAATATATGCGAACATTATTTTCCCTATTTTTTATTTTTATAAAAGTGAAGCATAAAAAATATCCTTCTTATGCTCAAAGAAAATCAACATTTGCGATTGTAAAGGAAACTGCCATATAAGAAGGCCAAAAGCAATGGGTCCAGAACATGAAAAAAAATACATAATTAAAAAATATGGTTTGGATAATAATAATTCTATTTGTTACACAGAAACAAGAACATATCATGCGTCATATGGGTAAATTTTGAGCATCCCTAAGGATTTATGAGATGATTACACATGATTCATGAAAACTAAAATGATTAAACTTAAAATAATAGTAGTTTAGTAGTACTTCTATAAGGCTGTAATTAGCTACACAACTAAGAGTAGAATAAAGGAACATCTAGCTTGCTTCTCATTCAGGATCCAACACAAGAGATTGGATTTCACTGAGAAAATAGATTAGAAAGCTCTTACCAACCATTGGGACATATGGAAGCCGTCTAACTATGCAATCTCTATGTCATCACTCTGATAAAATAGACTAGAAAGGCTCTTACCAACCATTGGGACATATGGAAACCGTATAACTATGCAATCTCTATGTCATCACTCTGCGAAAAGAGACTAGAAAGCTCTGACTATTCATTGGGAATTTGGGACATATGGAAGCAATAATAATGAAATCTCAGGAAACTAAAGCTTTGTAATCCCCCTCTTTACAGAGCCAATCATAAGACTAATGCAACTTTAAGGTCTAGCTGCACTGCAACCAGCTTCACCCATTCTCTCACCCCAAAATTACCTCCTTAGTAAGGCTGTAAATAAGGTACATCTTGCTTTGTCAAATGTTTTATCAGTTTGAGTCATTTGTTTCACAAAATGCATGTGCATATCTTATCTCTTAAGCATTAATTATAAGATCTGAACATGCAATTTGAGGAACCCCGGGCATCATAACCTTATTTCTGGAAACTACAAGTCCAATCATCCATCCTCGTAAATAACTACAACACAAATGTTAACTCAACCCAACATATCACTAAATCAATACTGCATTGCCTAAAAAAAGCTTAAAACATGCAAAAAAAGTGAGAAGGCAAGAATGAAGTTTATCACCTCCTCTCCCTTTACCTAATCACAATTGTCTAAACTCTAAAATTATCCAATCATTTCCAAAATTTTGACTAGAAGGAGAGAAATTTTTGTGGTTGGAAGAAAAGTGAGGGGTGTGCCTCTGACTTCTTCCTTTACCTCCCTTCCTTCTCTTTCTCATTTTCTCTCCTCTCTATTTTATTATTGACTCTTTCCAATTCCTTTACAAAGGCGAATTGTGTCATATAAACTTGAGGGGTCAATTAATAATATATTATATATTTTCAATGAATTACTAATTATATTATCTTTCAATGAATCATTAAAATTATAAAATTATTAATTACATTATCATGTAATGAATTATTAGAATTTTTATTTTTTAAAAATTTAAAATTAAAATATAAAATATAAATTAATTAATCATTAAATAATATTTTTTATTAAAACAAAAAAATTAATATAATTTAAAAATAATGAAGTTGAAACGCTAAAAGTTATGATTTTTTCCTTAACCTTATGAAAAAGATCTTAATCTTTTTTTTATTGAAAAAAGATTTTAGAATAGCAGGAAATAAAGATCTAGAGTAAAAATAAAAATAAAAATAATATGTTGAGGGATATTGTAATAAGTTAGAAAGAAAAGGAAAACATATATTTAGTACTTAGTTGGAGATATAAAATCTTGTTGAGAAAGCTACAATATTAATTTGATTTTTGTTAACTTTGCATAATTTTGATTTAAAGTTTGTAACAAATTTTTAGTTTAATTTTAAGAATTTATAAATAATAATTTATGAATACAATAAATAGACACATAACAATGTAATTTTAATTCTTTTTAAATTTCAGTAATGCATCAAATTAAATTTTAAAATCACAAAATATAACTAAATAGTATTAATTTAATATTAATATTTACATGCTAAAGACTTTTAAAAGTTTTGGGAGGCCAAGGCCCCCTCTGGCTGCAGTGAAGAACTGCCATTGCTTCTCTATCTTTCAATCCTCCTTTCTCTCTCTTTTATTTTCGTTTATCTAATCTAAAGCTATGTTTGAATAAATATTAATAAATAAATAAAAAATTAAAAGAAATGAAAGAATATATATAATTCTTGTTTAAATAATTAAAATTAATAAAAAAAAATTTAACAATCATTGTTTGGATAAAAAGTAAAAAAAAAAATAATTTATTATAATAATTTTTTCAATTATAATATTTCATTACCTGTGATTTTAGAACATTCATGGACCATAATATGTTTGCTATTTTATTTGATCTCATAATTATTACTATATTAATGATTTTTAATTAAGTAAAACAAAAAAATATTTTACAAATATACATTGATGAATTTTGAGCTAGTATGACATCTCATAAATTCTAAAAATATATTTATTTATATTCAACAATTTATCAAAATCAAATCACTAAAAAATTATAAAAAATTTTTATATTGAAAGTGTTAGGAAAATGGGGTTCAGCCCCATGTAAGTGGTTTTGGACCAAGTAAAGGTTATGGGCCTTGATCTTTTATTTTACACAGAGCCCTAGCTACTTAATAAAAAAGAGGTGTGGTTGTTTTAGGTGTGTGTCGAAAACCAAGCAGAGAAAGAAGAAAAGCCAGGAAAAACAGAGAGAGAAAAAAGAGAAGGGAGAGTTGGTTAAACGGAAGTCGATTCGTGGTCCGATTGAGTTAGAACCTTGTCAGGAGGTTTATGATTCAGAGTTCTACATTCTAACGGTGAAGATCGAGTTTGAAGCTCTCTAGGAATAAATCCAGGGTGTATTTGTTAAGTCACTTATTTGGTGAGATTTCTCCAATTGTTTCTCTAGTTGTTGATTAGCTCTAGTTTTAGCTAGAGAAGAACTTTGTATAACTATTATTTGATAGTGAAGATTTTTTTAGTGGCCCGTGATTTTTTTCCTCTACACTGGAGGGTTTTCCACGTAAATCTTGATGTGCTTTATTTTTCCTGCGTATTTGATTATTGATTGTTATCTATTGCTTCTGTATTGTTGTGATTATTGCTTCAAGCGCAACAAGTGGTATCAGAACGAGGGTTATTTTGAGATATCGATACAGAAGCAACCCATGATAGAAGTAAATTTTATTTGAGATCATGGAAGGTGATACAGGTTCCATGATAAAATTAACAGCATCGAATTATTCAATTTGAAAGCCTATGATGGAGGATCATCTATACTGCAAAGATTTGTATGAGCCAGTATTGGGTGATTCGGCTAAACCAACAGATATGAAAGATGAAAGCTGAAAGAAGCTAGGTAGAAAGACGCTGGCTACAATAAAAAAATAGGTTGATATCAGCGTGTTTCATCATGTAACGCAGGAGTCAGATGCTCACATTGTTTGGAAAAAATTGACAACATTGTATGAGAGAAAAACAGGTATGAATAAAGTTATGCTTGTTAAAAAGATTGCAACTTTACAGTACAGGGATGGACGATCTGTTACAGAGCACTTGAGTGATTTTCAAGATATATTTAATCAGATGACTACTATGAAGCTTAAGATAGATGATGAAATGAAGACATTATTTCTTTTGGGTTCATTGCCAGACAGCTGGAATACTCTAGTTGTGACTGTTCTTAATTCAGCTCCTGATTATAAGGTGACATTGGAGATGGTAAAGGACAGTATGCTTAATGAAGAAGTAAGACGAAAAGATGTAGACCCTGGGAATCAAGCTCTAGTCATAGAGAACAGGGGTAGAAACATCGACAGAGATCATGACTCAAAAGGTCGTGGTAAGTCTAAACATAGATCCAAGTCTAGAGGTAAAGTGAAGTGTTTCCATTGTGGTAAGGCGGGCCATATAAAATGAAATTGTAGAATCTTAAAGCAAGAGTGAAAAGATGAGAAAGGTAAGAGTTTAGATGATGGCAATGTTGCAGCAGTGAATTCAGATAGTGATTCAGTTACTTTAATTTGTACACATGGTGATTGTAATCATGTTAGTGATCCCGGCATTGAGTGGATAGTTGACACAGTAGCGACATATCATTGTATTCTTAAGAGAGAGTTGTTTATAACTTACAAAGCAGGAGACTTTGATTGTACCAAGATGAGAAACAAGAGTGTGTCGCAGATTATTGGGATTGGTGATATTATTGTGCAAACTAGTGCAGGCTGCATGTTGACTTTGAGGGATGTCAGACACAATCCAGATATGAGAATAAACTTGCTTGCTATTAATGTCCTTGATAAGGAGGGATATGAAAGTCGACAAAAGAATAGACAATGAAAGCTTCTCAAAGGATCTATGATAGTTGCAAGGGGAAAACTATGCTGCACAATGTATAAGACATGGATGCAATTGAATGGTAACCAGGTAAATACCGTTGAAAATGATGCTTCAGCAAACTTGTGGCACAGGAGGCTGGCACACATGAGTGAAAAAGGGTTACAGGTTTTGACAAGGCAGTCTTTCATTCCCTTGACTAAAGGTATGTCTCTCGATTCATGTGATTATTGTTTGTTTGGTAAGCATCATAAAGTTTCTTTTCGTAAAAGTTCTCAGAGAAAAGAAAATAGATTAGAATTAATTTATTCTGACGTATGTGATCCCCATTGAGGTTGAGTCATTAGGTGGTAGCAGATATTTTGTTACTTTTATTGATGATGCTTCACGTAAGATTTGGGTGTATATGTTGAAATACAAAAGTCAGGTACTGTAATATTTTCAAAAATTTCATGCCATTGTTGAGAGGATGACAGGGTTACTCTTGAAGTGTATTCGAACTGATAATGGTAGGAAATACACATCTAAAGACTTTAAAGAGTATTGCTCAAAGCATGGGATC